CCCCCCACCCTCCCCCAACAAGTACTTATTGAACATCCGCTGTCAGCTGTGGGGTCCCAGGGGCTGGAGTGGCAGACAGACAGGGCCCTGGCTCCCTCAGCAAGCCGACCCGCATGCCCGCGGGGGTCCCGGGGGGTCAGAGGCCCCGACAGCTGGAGCCCCCCGGGCCTGGGCCACAGGGCTGGCGGCACCCACCCCCGCCCCCAGCCGGGGCACTTCCCACACCGGCTCCGGACTCCGCGCCGACATGACCCCCTCTCCGCCTGCCCTCACGGTCTTCGAACCCTTGGAGGATGGAGGCCCGCGTCCGTGCCGCTGCCAGGACCCCAGCGTGCCTCTCCCCGGGTGCCCTGGGGGGATGGGGGACATCTATGATAACATACCTGGGGGGGGGGAGGTGACGGAGGGAAGGAACCCTGTGTGGTGGAGAACTTGGGGGCAGGACGTGCATGGGGGTCCCGCCTCCCCAGGAAATCTCAGCTGCTGGGTTATCTGGGCGGCATCCTGTGTGGCTGAGACGTGCTCCCAGGGGAGCCCTGGTCCAGCTGTTGGGACCAGGAGAGGGGCACCCAAGGGCCTCGGCCCGGCTGTGGGCGACACCCAGGGGATGAGGGAAGGCACCCTTCCTCTGAGCCCCCATCATCATCATCTCCCCTCTCATCCGAGCGAGCGCCCACCGCTCAGCCCCATCGTGCACCTGGATTCTGAGCAGGGGCTGCAGGGTAAAAGGGGGAGCACACGGCCCCCGTCCCCTGGCAGTGGGGGCCCAGCTAAGGCTGCCAGGTCAGGGGTCCCCAAGGTGGCTGGGCCGGGGGTGAGAACAGCTGCGGGCTCACCCAGGGCCATGGCCCCTTTCTCCCCTAAACCCTTCCTGCCCCTGGCGGTGCCTCCTAGCCCAGGTGTCACCCTTTCCCTGAGGACCCAGGTCCACTGTCTTCCAGATGAGGCAGAAGGACTCCCCCTGGGTCAGAAGCGAAAGCCCGGGCTCCCCTAGACCTTCGTGACCATGCAGGGCCACCCACCCACGTGCCCTCGGGGACTCGGCCTCGGGCCCTGGGAGCTCGGGCGCCCGCTCAGCACCAGTGTGAGGTCTGTGCACTTGTGTCTGAGCGTGTGCACACCCACATGTTCCACCCAGAAAAGTCCAGAGAGAAACGACAAAACACCCTGAACAGTTGCACGACCGGTGGGAAGAATTCCTCAGGTGAGGCAGGACCCATATGGTCCACCCCAGGCCCGCCCCTCCTGCTGGCAGGGCCCCCGCCCTGGTCCTCAGGCCCGAGGCTGGTGCAGGCTTGGGCAGCCCCTGCACAGAGGTGGGGGAGTTGCAGACACAGGCGGCCGCCTGCGACAACAGCACGACGTGTCCCACTCAGCGCGGAGACCACAGGGCGCCCCCAGCCCCACAGGCTGCTTGCAGAGCCTGTGAGACCTCGCCTGTCCACAGATTGGGCTTCCGCAGATTGAAATAAAACACTGTATATTTACATCTAAAATCGCGACACTCTCAACACTGGCTACTTGCTGCTGCCCACCAAGGACACACTCCGGACAGAACTGGAAAACACCGGTCACGGTGCCCATGCCCCTCACGGGGGGCTCCCTGGCCACTGCTCACAGCCCCAGCCCCGTGGCCCAGCCCACGACCAGCCCCAGGAGCTCACTCAGAAAGGACCAGTGCTGCCAAGCCAAGCCCAGTATAAAGGATTTATTTAAACTCAACACGAACACCAACCTTCCTTTAAATTCCATTTTTACAGTAAATAAAATTGTGTATTCCGTTCCTTCCCATGCATGATCACTGGGTATTTATTAATCTACAACTCTTATAATTGTGAAAAAATAAAAGTGTTTCCCATTTTGTAACTATCCTGGGGCATCTGACACACATCCGTGAGAAGGGACAGATCTGCTCGTTCCTGGGCCGATCATTTGGTTAAAACCTAAAACATCAGGTCAAAGGAATCAATCACCCGGAGACAATAAATACTGCCCCACGATGGTGGATGGTCCTGCAGCCTCCCAGACAAGACGCCTTTCCGAACGGCTGGGCGCTTGGCTGCAGCTCCTGGGGTGTGGCATGGAGCAGCCGCCCAGGCGCTCCCCAGGACACGTGCCAGGCCACCCCCGCCCCACCTGAGGGCATGGCACCCCCGCTGCGTGCGACAGGGCCCTCCTGTGCAAGACCGAGCCCTCCCCAAGCAAACCAGACACAAGGGCCGGGAGAGGAGGCGCGGCAGGGCCTGTGCTTTATTGGGGTCATCTCAGGGTACACGGCGGCCTGGCCAGCACGGCCCCGGCAGCCCCAGAACACCCGACGTGCGGCCCCTCGGCCTCGGCCGGAGCCCGGGGGGCCCAGGTCCGGACCCGCGTCGGGATCCGCACCCGCCGCGGTCCAGGCCGAGTCCGTGCAGGTCCGCGGGCGTCAGTCGAGCTCAATGGGGCTGCTGTCGTCCTGACTGTCCTCGCCCTCCTGCTCCGAGGAGCCCATGAGGCTGCTCAGAAGGTTCCCTGGAAGGAGGTGCACGGCGCTGTCAGGGCCATGGCTGCACCTCGCCCGCTGCCTGACCCCCCTGACGCCGCCTCCTCCCACGGCGCCGTGACCGGGGCCTGGCGAGACGACAGCAGCCCAACCCCGGAGCCCCCTCTGGGGGTCTCTCCACAGAAATGCGTCTGCCGCGCCCGGAGACACAGGGATCCTGCTGGGGCCGCGAGGGGAGAAGACCCAGGTGCCTGTCGAGGGGACACTGCACAGCCGCCAGGACGGGCCTGGGAGGATCCCGGGTGGCCGAGCAGCAGGTAACTCACTCACATGTTAACTCTCAAGTGACACAGAAGTAAGTCAGATGTTACAGTTCCGAAGGCTACACATAACAACGTTAACTGCTGTGGGCCTTGTCAAGATGGACACTTTTCCTTTTTACCTAATTTTTATCCAAAGGACTATCATGTCAATAGAAAAGCAAAGTTTAAAAAGTGCCCTAAACCAACTCGCAGAGGGGAACAACAAACAAAGGGCAAGCAGTGCCCTCAGGGTAAAACCCTCCTTGAGCTGCAGTGAATGCGGCCCAGTCACCGCACCTGGCGCCAATGCGGTTGGAAGTTCTGTGGGGAAATGCAGAGTCAGACGGGAACGCAGTAGCTGACAGTCACAGCAGCCCGAGACTGAACATGCTAAAATGTCACCATGACTGTGGACGGACAGACGCTGCGGAAGCCCGAGGTGTGGGCAGGACAGGACACAGCCACCGAGACGAGTGGTTGTGACATGAGAGCCTGGAGAGGGGAAGTGGCCCCCCACACCTTCCACTAAAACTCCAGACAGACCCAGTTTACAGGTAAAAAGTCCAACTTGTATTTAAGGGAAAACAGCTTTTCAAATAATCTGGGAGACAGGAAAAAGACCTTTCCACGGAGCAGTTTGACGGTGGCCACGAAAACGACAAACGCTCATTCCACCCTCCCCCAAGTAGGGCCCCACGAGGCAGGGCCAAGGGCAACAGCTCGTCGGAGCAGCGAGACCAGGCGCCGAGGGGCCAGCCTGGAGGTCCTGCCACTGCAGGCCGTCTGCGTGCCTGCAAAGTTCCCCCTGGAAGGAAGCTAAGGAAACCTAGCACTGCCTGGCCTGCAAGTCACCATGGGACAGTGGCAGGGCTGGGTACGAGCCCACACATCTGGACTCTGTGAGACAAGCTTTACCTATTCAAAAATAAAACATTAAGGATGGCAAAACCCACTTTTAAGTGCAGGACTACACTGGTCCCCACCCTGCTGGAGGGCAGGAGTCCGATTAGGAGCCCCAAGGCTGCATCAGAAGAACGGGCAGGACACAGGGAGGTGGCCTGGCCTTGAGAGGTAGGGTCAGCGATCTGGCCACCAGCACCTACCAAGACTGAAGCACAAAGAAATTACACACTCTGAAGAGACTCTAATGAGTAAGGAGACTGTAATCCCTCCCAACAAAGAAAAGCCCTAAACCTCGCGGCCTCACTGGGGAAGCGAATGAATTAGTACCACCCACCCTTCCAAATACCAAACCCAGAAAAGACACGACGAGGAAAGAAAACTACAGACCAATATCCCTTATGAACACTGATGCAAAAATCCTCAGCAGAATACTAGCAAACCGAATTCAGCAGCGTAGTCAAAGAATCAGACGCCATGACCAAGTGGGATCTGTTCCTGGAATGCAAAGACGGCTCAACATGTGAAAGTCAGTCAACATGATGCACCACAACGGAGTGAAGGACAAAACCAGTGATCACGTCAAATGATGCACAAAAAGCATCTGACAAATTCAACACTCTTTCATGAAAACACTCACCAAGAAAGAACATAAGGAAACCATCTCACATCATGATGTAATAAAAGGCACATATGAACAACCCAGAGCAGGCAGGCATCACACTCAGCGGCGACAGATTCAAAGCTCTTCCTCTGAGATCAGGAACAAGGCAGGGGTGCTGCTCCCACCACCTGTGTTCAACGTGGTACAGGTGGCCCCTGAACAGCACGGGTCTGCACTGTGCGGGCCCACTTCCTGTGCCCTGCGTTCTACATACAGGCTGCAGTACTGCCTGGCCCGCAGTTGTGGCTGAATCCACAGACACGATGGGCCAACTGTACGTTAATGTGCCAACTTTCAACCGTGCAGGGGGCCAGCACCCCTAACCTCCGCGCTGTTTAAGGGTCAGCTGAACCTGAAGTCCTAGCCAGAGCAATTAGGCAAGAAAAAGAAATAAAAGAATTCCAAGTTGAAAAAGTAGGAAAATTATCTGCTTGCAAGTGCTATTTTACTTGTAAACATTTCTGAAGAGTCTACAAAATAACTGATTTACAGAAACAATTCCATTTACAACAGCATCAAAAAGAATAAAATACTTAGTAATTAGCTTAACGAAAGAGGTGAAAATTTGTACAATCAAAACTATAAAAAATTCCTGAAAGAAATTAAAGACGTAAATAAATGCAAACATCCCAAGTTCCTAGACTAAAAGACTTAATATTGTTAAAACGTCATACTACCCAAAGCAATCTACCGATTTAATGAAATCTCAAATCCCCAAAACATTTTTTTGCAGAAATAGAAAAACCCATCCTAAAATTCATATGGAATCTCAGGGAACTCAAATAGACAAAACAGTCTTGACAAAAAACAAAGCTGGAAGTCTCACACTTTCTCATTTCAAAATTTACTACAAAGCTGTAGTCATCAAAAGAGTGTGGTCCTGGCATAGAGACAGATATCGACCAGTGGAATACAGAACCCAGAAATGAACCCTCGCATATATGGTCAAATGATTTTTGACAAGGGTTCTGTGCCCACTTGATGGGGAAAGGACAGTCTATTCAACAACTGGTGCTGGGAAAACTGGAAATCCACATAACCAAAGAACGAAGCTGGACCCTTATAGTAAGTAAAACACCACATTAAAAAACCACCTCGGGGCTTCCCTGGTGGCGCAGTGCTTGAGAGTCCGCC